TTTTGAAATTGTTCTAGGGTTTTGTCTGTGTTTTCCTTGGTCTGTCTCTCAATCCTTTGAAGATACTGAAATATAATCCTTTTGAATTCCTTATCAGGGAGTTCCAATGCTGCATCTTCCTCAGGGATGTATTTTGGGTCTGTATCCTGGTCCCTTGTTTCTCTTGCTTTATCTTGCTTGTGTCAGCTGTGATGCTCTGTTGTCTCTGAAGCATTGTGACTTTTTGTGTTTATATTTAATTGGTGATTGTATGTTGGAGTGACTTACCCACGGTTTTCATTTTCTTTGTTTTGTTTGTACGTTATCTACGCAAGCAGGGTGCTGTGCTCTTCTATTCACTAGCTGAGGGCACTTAAACACTCACCACCTGTTTCCCTTCCTGTTGTGTCCTCTCGTATGTTCCTGCCGACCTTGGCAAACAGAGCCTATTCTTAGGTCCCTGAAATATGAATGAGAATGCTATCACTTTAAAATCCAAAATGGTTGCCACTTGTAAAGCTTCAAAATGGCTGTGCCCTCGGTCACTTTAAATATGCCAAATGCTTGCTGCTTGTAAACATTCAAATTGTACATGATTTTTATAAGTGTAAGGAAGGTCATTTCTATTCCTAGCTTGTTGACTGTTCTTATCGTGAAGGGTGTTGAATTTTGTCAAAGCCTTTTCTGTGTCTATTGAGTGACCATGTAGCTTTTCTTCTTTAACCCACTACCATCAAGTCAAGTCTGGCTCCTAGAGACTCCCATTGGGTTTCTAAGGCTATAAATCTTTACAGAAGAATATTGCTTCATCTTCCTCCTGTGGAGTAGCTGGTGAGTTTGAACCATGGACTTTATGGTTGGCAGCCAAATGCCTTACCCACTATGCCACCAGAGTTCCTTTTCCTTCTTTAGTCACCCCAATCTACAGGTAGGGACCTGAGGTTCCCAGAGAGTAACCGATCTATGTGAGTATCCAGGACCAGTGAGGGGCTGAGCCAGGATTCAAGTCCAGCCCTGCCTGCCTTTGGCAGCCCCGTAACTGTATCTGCTCCCAAAGGTGTCCCAGCCAGATATTCCCTAATTAGTCCTGGATTCTCAATCCACAGGGCGTGTCTATGGGACTGTCCTCAAGCCTGGGGTCGTCAGAGATCCTCCCCACACGTGGTCAGCATCTCCAGTCTCTGCTGGACATGGGAGTCTGTCCAGCCAAGGGCCCAGTGTGACCAGCAGATCAGGGACAACTGAGCTGCCCCTCCTCTGCCTGTACTGCCCCCCTGCCTGCTGGAGGCCTGGGGACCCTTGGAGGAGATGTAGGCCCGGGGAACCTGAGGATAGGGCTGTGAGCCCAGGAGCCCAGGGACCGCTCTTGGCCATCAGGCCCCTTGTGGCCTTGCCTGGCTGTTGCTCATCTCCCCTTCTTTCTGTGGTCTCTCCTTCCTGCCTTCCTCAGCTTCCCAGGGTGCCTGGGCTCCCCATGGACCTTTGGTGCACTCTCGACCCCACCCAAACTTTTCAGGGGCTCCATCTCCTTGTGCTTCTCCCCTGGTCACGCCATCATTCCACGAGGACTGACCATTCGCCCGGGCCTGGGGACCCACCACAGAAGCTTCCTGGGGCCTTGGAGGTGCCCACGAACTGGCAGGAGAGAGGGTCCAGCTTGGGGAAAATCTCCCTCCCTAAGTGTATTGAAGGTGGCAAAGAATATTGAATATACCATGGACTGCCAGAGGAATGCACAAATACATCTTGGAAGTACAGCTGGAAATGAGAATGGCCAGCTCCTTTGGTCATGTTGCCGGAAGGGATCAGTCCGTGGTGAAGGATATGCTCAGCGAAGCAGAGGGTCAGCGAGAAAGGAGAAGACCTTGAAGGAGATGAGATGCATGACATAGTGGCTGCAAAGATGGGCTCAAACGTAGCAAAACTTGTGAGGATGACACAGGACCAGGCGGTGTTTTGTTCTCTTGTACACAGGGTCGCTATGAGTGGGAAAGCCAACTGCAGGCACCTAACGAGAAGAAATCGACCTCATTCCTCATTTCACCCATCCACGTCTGTCTGTCAACGTCCTCTAACGTCTAATCTTCCTATCTGTCCATCTTTTTGCCTCTGTTTCCCAATCTGTCCGTCCCTTATCAAACTCTCAGTATTATAATAATGCTAGGATGGGTTCTATCACCACCTCTGGTTTACTGATAAGCATCCAGAGCCTCGGAGAAGTCCGTTGGGAGACCTGCCAGGGACACGCAGGTGGTAAGTGGCGACGCCTAGCGAAGACGCAGACAGGACTGACAGACTCGGT